CTCCCCAGCATGCTTTACTTGGCTTTTTCCTCAGTCCTGATCCTTGAAAAAMTGATATCTATTTCCAGTGACAGCACAGAGTTTTATCTCAATAAAACAAGACTTTTGCTAGTATTTGTTCTGGAATGGCACTGGGCAGTGTATCCTGTGGCTGGTGGTGGCACTCGACCTGTTAGGAAACAAAYGGATTAAGGGAGATTATCCCTGGCAATCTAAAAGATGTCTCTCCCAAAGCAGCCTGGGATGTTTTTTGAACCTTTGCCAATGTTTTTCTGTATACAATTTCATTCTGGCTTTCAGCAGCGATTTTTAAACATTTAAAGATGGTTCCAGATGATTCATACCAAGAGGACAAAACATTCCTGTTGCTGGTCCCAGTGGGAAGGGGGCCTGCCAGAGGAGTGCAGGGACAAGGAGTGATTTTCAGGTTCTTACAAATGAAATTCCATTTGTTTTGTGAATGATTTATATACAAAATACAGACATAGATGTGATTCACAGTGCAGAAACTTCACCTGCAGCTAGGCTGTGTTTAAATAGAGCAGAATTCCATTTGTTTGGTGAATGATTTATATACTAAATACAGACATATGTGTGATTCACAGTGCAGAAACTTCACAAGCTGGCTGATTGTGTTTAAATAGAGCAGAATTCCATTTGTTTGGTGAATGATTTATATACAAAATACAGACATASRTGTGATTCACAGTGCAGAAACTTCACAAGCTGGCTGATTGTGTTTAAATAGAGCAGATCCACGGTGGAGAATCGTGATAGCCTTTGTTTAGTGACTGAGTGAAGGTGAGAGCATTACATCTCTCTGTTCCCAGCTCTGTCATTAGCAGATTGTAAAGGGATTAATTTTTTGTTTGATAAGGATGGGAGGTGGGYGCTCTCACAGGAATTCACTGTTTGCTGCTTTCCATCCGGTCAYTGGTACAAAACAGTGGGGTCAGGGCCAAACCCACAGGGGCAGTTTTGTGTCTGRCACTCCCTGGAGTGAGGCTGCTCACATTTTGTGCTGTTTTTCCCCCTTTCTCTCCCAGGAATACGTAGCCTACAGCCACACCGGSCGCATCATCCCGGCCATCTGGTTCCGATACGACCTGAGCCCCATCACAGTCAAATACACAGAGAGGAGACAGCCTTTGTACAGGTTTATCACATCGGTGAGTTTGCCCTAAACCTCTCATTCTCCCTCCTCCTGCCTGCCTTTTGTTGCTCTCCCGAGCCTTTCTTGTCCAGAGGAATTGAGTTTCTGCCTCAGAGTGTTGTGAGGTGGTGGAGATAAAGCAGCTCAGCTGGTGAGTGCAGTGCTCTGACAGCTTGATTTAATAGCTGGGCACAAAAGGAAGGAAAATTTACCTGTTCCAGGAGTTCCAGGCTCTGGGCAGGATGGGCTCTATTGCAGTGTGTCAGAAATAAAGAAGAGGAGGCATTGTGAGCACTAAAGCTGCAATAAACTGCTCACTGACGATGAGATAAATGTGCAGAGAATCCACAAARGTTTGGGCTGGAAAAAACCTTAAACCTCAGCCCATCTTCCACTATCCCAGGCTGCTCCAAGCTCCATCCAACCTGCCCTTGGACATTTCCAGGGATCCAGGGGCAGTCACAGCCTCTCTGGGCACCCCGTGCCAGGGTCTCACCACACTTTTCCACCCCAGAGTCATCCTGTTCTCAACTAGAGAAGTTTCCTTTGTTCAGGTGATGGAAGAAGATCTGTTMAATAGCACAGAGCTGCCTGTCCTTGCTACCTGCTGGTTATTTGGGTGATTTTTACASTAAATAGGAAGAAAACTGGCAGTGGAGATTTTTCCAGCAGCCCCTTCTCTCTTCCTACAAGGCACTGAATTCAGGGCTGTTACTTTACCCAGTGCTGCAGCTTGGTTTAATATGGGAATTCCAGTTCCATGCATTTGCTCTTGGGCAGAAGGGGAGAAGAGCTGCATTACCAAATTCCAGAGGTGTTTTCCTGACTTGTTACGTTTGGATCTGTCCAGAGAGCATCCTRCAGTCCTGATCTCAGCATTCAGAACAAAGCTGTGCTGGCCAAGCTGCTCATTAGGCAAAGAGCTATTTAAAGATCCTCCAGGACTTTTTAAAAAAAAATGTGTCCTCGGGGAGTTGGCTTAAAATTGAAGCTTCAGTGAGCTGTGCCAGCGAGGCCTGGTGGAATGTGAAGCAGTTGATAAATTGGCTGGAGTGAAGACCTCCAATTCTGATTTTTAAACAGTTTGACCGTTTTAATTGGAAGTCACATAAACAGTGTGGCGCAGTTGCACTTCAAGATTTTGGTTTTGCAACTTCTGATAAACAGCACTTGGCTGAACTTTGGACTGGGGTCTGCAGAATACACAAATAACAAGAGAAGGGGACTTGAAGAAAAATCTAAATGTCGTGGTGTAAGACTTGCTCTTCTGAGATGCTTGGCTTCAAAACATAATCCTAAAAAAGGTCAAACATCAGCGTTTCATGACTTGGCATCTCATTCTGCCTGCTTCTTTCCCTAAAATTATGCTCCCAGAGGTTTCTTAAACATCTTGTTGGGGGTGAGGGTGTGGAGGTGTTTTAGTGGGGAATGATTTGATAGCTGGGATTACTCTTTCATTTTATTATCAGCACTGATTCACTGCTGATATGCTGTTGTGTGCCTATAAATAGCATCTTTGTTGAATTTGATACCCTGCTCCTGGGTTGATATAAGGGACCACATGAGAGGTTTTCCTCCCTGATTGCCACAGTGACCTTTTGGGTTTGTATCCCATTTGAATTTGCATCCCTTAACCTCATGAACTGAAGTGCGTGTTTCCTAATGAGAATCTAAAAATGGAACAGCAATTCCACTTCTGTTTCTGAAAAGATTTAAAGGTTGATTAATTTTCATTAAGTAAGAATTTCAGTTTTCCCTCTTCCYCAAAATAACAGTCCTCTTCACACACAATATTTCTCCAACTCAGGACTGAGTGTTGAATCACTGGCTTCAGCTTGAATTTTGCCTTATTCTGTCTTTAAAGTTAGCCAGGCTTGCTGCTGTGCTGCCTAAGGAGAGTTTGGCAGTTGATTTTTGGCTGTGTTGTTTGGTTTATAAATGGCTGTGGTGTCACACAGCTCCCTGGGGGCCATTCCAGCTGAATGTCCCTCCTCTGGAGSTGTGAGGATGATGCTGGTGCTGGCAGCAGCAGTGTTGGGTGTGACAGACACAGAGCCTTGCTCCTGGTGCCATCTGTGGCCTCATTTGGGATGGAGGGCAGTGCAGGAGCAGTGCCTTGGCTCTGCAGTCAATCTTTGCAGCTTTGCACGTGGAGCTGTAAATCTTGGGAGGGGAGCGGCGCTGCAGAGGATGGGAACAGCTCTGTCCTTGCTCTCCCTGCCCTGTTTGGATGACATGATCTGTTCCTCAGCCCCTTTCCTGCATCTGCAGCCTGGCCTTTTGCATCACAGTTGCTCTGGAGATGTGTTAGTGATGATCAGAGCTGGGCTYAGGGCCAGCAGGGACGGGGCTGGGGCTGTGGAGTCACTGCCTGCCCAGGGAAAGCAGCAGCTTGTTCTGAGCAGCCCAAAAATTCTGGGTGGGATTCTGCAGATTACCTTCCTAGGAACTGCCTGAGGATCCTGCTGGCCCTCTCTGTCCTTACAGATAATTTTCAGACTTTGGGACATCCCAGAGGGGCACAGTCATGGAGCTGACATTTGCNTGCTGCTCCTTAGATCTTTGTGGTGGGAAGAATTATCCTCATTTTCTGGGGTGCTTCCTCTGTAAAGGCTTTGGTTTAACATGAGGTTTGTTTTTTCTTTTTTTTTTTTTTTTTTTATTTTTACTTTACATGTTGTGCTTCAAAAAGTTCAGTGCTAAATAAGATTTTATGTTACTTTTTACTGCCACTGTCACTGCCCCATGAGCTTGCCGGGGATCCTGGAGTTACCCAGATGCTTGGCAGAGTGTTAAATACAGCTGGTTTTGCCTGTCAAACTGCACTGCTTAAAATCAGCTCATCCCTCATAAAGAGAAGCCATTCAAGACCTCTTGGTTGAGGTTATGGAGTGAGGGGAAAAGTTTTGCTGTTGAAAATTCATGAGTTCGTGCAAGTGGCCAAACTGAAAGAATGTTTTATCGTGAGATCAGTGCAGGGTCTGGGAGGGGAGAGCAGGCAGAAAAGCAGTCAAAGTTTTGCTACAGCATTCAAAATACAAAGAATTTGTTTTCCTGGTATGAGAGGACTCCTCAGGCCTCTAGGTGTAAAAAAAAAATAAACTGGATACAATGGGAGGGGAGCTGGAGCAGGATGGTTGCAGGCAGAGTGATTTCAGCCATGGGAGCTGTCACTGGCAGTGTCACACATTCAGTCCTGTGGGGTTTTTAAACCCAAGAAAATATTCTACAAGATGTGCTGGAGTGGGATTGTGCAGATTCCCTTCCTGGGATCTGCCTGAGGATCCTGCTGGCCCTCTCTGTCCTTACAAATAATTTGGGGCATCCCAGAGGAGCACAGTCATGGAGCTGACATTTGCCTTTCTGTCACCTTGCCTCCTCCTCCATCCCCACTGATGTTTTCCTGCACCCCACTCTCCTGTAATCATTCTGTTCAAGGTGCATTCCTCATGGATGGAGAGACAGACTCTCACTGGGATTGTTCCACTTGTATCTCTCTTTTCCTCCATCCTTTACCGGCTGTGCCTGAGTCAGACAGACCCCACAGAGCTGCACACAGATCATTCCCAGTCATTTATTCCATTAAATCTGAAGAAGTGCCTGATGCCAGCCTCCCATCCGTGTCAGAGCTGTGATGATGAAGCAGCACCGAGGTGCAGCTCCAGAGCTCAGCTCTGCTCACAAGGAGCCCTTTTTCCATCCCCAGAGCTCAGTGTGTGCAGGAGGCAGTGCCAGGTGTGTGTGACTCACCCACACTCAGCACTGCACAGCTCTGCAGATGAATATATAGATATTTTCTGTTCCCCAGCCCTTGTGCTGCTGTGTYCAAGTCAGATTTTCCTGCCGTGTGATGCAGAGCCCTGGCGTTGGCTGGGTTTGTGTTTGTGGTGTGACATCTCCTGTCAGCTGAATGCTCTGAACTGAAATAGCCCAGCTCCAGGGTGGGCATTTCCCCGAGGAGTCACCCCATGGCATGACCTGAGGGACAGCAAGGAGTGGGCACAGGGGCAGGAGCTGGACTTGGCCCCTAAAAATACCAACTTTGCCTCCAGCTCTGGTTTTAGCACCAGGATCTGCTGGAATGCTGAGTGTCCTGAGTGTCCACATTCCCTGCAGCTCCTGGTCTCACTGAGCTCACTAAACTCTCATCTCTGGGTTATAAATACCCGTGGAAAGGAGCTGGAGTTGTCAGTGCCTTCACTTCCCATTAATGAGCTGTTTGTTCCTTTTCCTCAGCGCTGCCTCTGCTGCTCCTACGTTGGTTTTTTTGTCCGTGGGGTGTTGTGTGGCAGAAGAGACGTGGCACAGTGTGTGTGCTGTGGCACCAACTCCCTTCTGTGCCAGCTCCAGTGCAGTTTTGTGATGTGATCATAGAATTACTGAGGTTGGAAAAGAG